TACAATACGGGCAGTAGTACGTTTTGACATAACATAAAAAAAAGTACGTTTTGGAATAATTTACGAAAATAGTTCGTTTTGGTATAGTTAATGATTGGTGCCTATTATTTTAACATTGGCAATAGTACGTTTTGGCGTAAAACTGGAAAAAGTACGTTTAGATTATCTAAATATAATTTTTATGCACGGAAAAGGTTCGTTTTGGATTAAGCAGTCATTTTTAACAGCTGATTTGACCTGTAAATAGTACGTTTTGGTCTATTCTGACAACACCAATCGATTTTTCGGCGTTTTTTTTATAAGATTCGATATCTAACTCGTTTTTGCCAATTTTGGCAATAGTACGTTTTGGATTTCCACCCCTCAATCAAGGTAAGATATTAAAATATAGACATAGTACCTACACATACTTATTCTAATTGGTATTCGTCGATAACAAACAGTTTCCTAAGAAAACAACACGGGTCGCGATATCCGTATTACTGCTACGGGGACAATATAATTATGTTTGTTTATAGAAAAAATGATATTCGTAACAAGCAAGCACAAGCCCGCCATGCGCGGGGCCCGCACAAGCGCGGGGCCCGGTGCGGTCGCACCGCTTGCCCCCCCCTAGGGCCGGCACTGATTATACCTAGGTATATTATTTTGTTTTTAAAATTATAAACATTATTATCAATATCAATTTGAAATATACTACTGATCAATTGATATTTCCATATTGTTATGACGTGCTACTGACTAGTGCAACCATGGACATTAATTATTAGATATAAAAATTCTAATATTACTTATGAGTGGTGGCAGAACGTCTAAATAACTTCTAAATCATACCAAATCAATATTAATTATCTAATTTTACAAATCTTTTAGTGGCTTGAAACTTAAAAATATGCATGATTTATTACATATTATAATAGAAATTAAATGGTAAAAAATTATTTTTTTTTTGTGTATCAATGGTTTTCATTGGTCGCTAGGGCAGATGAGGTAAAAGCAATACCTCAAATCGTTGAGTTTACATGGAAGATTGTTTTTAGAGATATTAATATATTATCAGTAAAATTTAGAGAGTAGTTTGAACTTCGAACCACGTTAAAAAGAAACCAAGTGCTAAATCCAATGCGCCACTGACCACTTGTAGGTAGGCCATGAAGCGGTGGCTTATAATTTGATTTACAAAAATATACTAAGCACATTTTCGTACATATAGGTAGTTCATACTTCAATATAGTAAAATTAAAATCCAATTTTGTTGATTATCTAATGTATTTCCTAATTGCACAACTTTGTTAATAATTTATGAAGCAATTACAATATAATTGCATATGCACGACTAGGTATTCAAATGATTGACAGTTTATTCATTTGATGGTTTTTATTATTTATAAACAATTTTCAACTATCTTGGAAATAACAATATTTATTATTTTAAATTTATAGTACTCGAACTATTGTGTATTACCTACTACGATGGCTGTATTTAAAATAACCTTCTTAAGACCGATTTTGTTTTTAAGCAAGATTATTGGATTGATTAATATATCTTACATTATGGAAGAATCTGGAATTTTAGTTAAAAATACACACACAACATACTATACGTTTTTAGAATTTATTCGAATGTTTGTATTAATGACGTGTACGTATGTGTTTCATGATCCAAGCTTTCCATTCGTACAAATAATATTATTTATGAAATTTTGGACTGTCATTATTTCAGCAAGAATATCAGAAATGTGGATGATCAAGTATGAATTTCAATATTGTCTATTTTAAATAATTTTAATAACGCATGTCAAAAAATACGTTCACTAAAAGTAAAGAACACGAGATAATATAATAGTTATGTATTATACCTATTACCTATTATATGGATATTTATTATTTATTATACTGCACAAACCGCTAAGAATGCTTTAAATTATTGTACTTCACAAAATATATTCATAGCTAGGTAGGCACTTGCACCAACACCAGCATTTGCAGATACCTACCAACAATATATAATATTATATTAAATATGATTATATTATATTTGGAGTCTTGTAGATCAGTTTTTCCAGTAGTAACTATCAGACTACAGATGAACTAAATTAACAAATAATATATTAATGATTTTATGAAATACGTTAGGTACTTATTTACTTATAGCTAGGGCCTAGGGCTCGGAAGTCATAGGAGTTAATAAACGAAAAATATGTACGAACAAATTATAAAATATGCATGAAAAAATTTCAAACAGGTAGGTATGCAAAAAAGTTTGATTATTTATTCATAAAAATTCAATAATCCAAAAAAACCATTTATGTTGCATTGTTGCTATTAATTTGCAGTTTGCACTAAAAGAAATTTAAAAGTAGGAAAAATAAATTTATAATATTTAACTGTATGACATTTTGACATTTTTTTAAACCTGAGAAAATTAGCTTAAAATATATTATATTCGAAAAGATTGTACATCGGAATATTTGAATATAGAGATTAAATGTGCATCTCACCGTTGTCGTTAAATTGATTATCGACTGCGAAGATAACAATAAATACAATAGTAGTGTTAAGTACTTAAGGACCTATATAAAATAATATTGAGTTATATGACATTCAATATTATTATTAAAATACGAAGCTTAAGAAATAAAAGGATTAATTTTTTTTAGAAAATCATGAACTATATGCAATTTTTCCCCTAAAATTGACGAAATATGCAAAGTATGCATTTTAATTAATATTTGATTTTTTAACTGACCATTGTATTGAGCTCGGATTTCTAGCTTGGTGTGCTATAAATCGATAACATATAGAATGTTATACAACTCCTCTATACATAACCGAGCCCTATACTTATAGCATTTCCTAGTAAGTTTAATTTATTATACCTAAACTTGCAATTGATGAAAAACGGTTAAACCGTGGGGCAGTGTTGCATGAACGAAACTTAATTAATAAAAAAGGTGGGTAAGTGGATGTCGCTCTGCTGTACTGTAAGCCTGTAGGTTACAAGTGGGTCACTGTATAATGGATGATATTAAATTTGAATTCAACGATATAATATCATTGTATAAGAAAAACGATTCTGAGCGGAGACGGTATGTCAGTCTAGGTATAAGACATATTATATAATTTCCTATGGTATTAAATTATATGGAATTTATGAATAAATTCCTTAAAATATGCACAGTCTTATCATGAGCATAATTCTTATTCCTTATACTATGGTAGATTGTATGGATAGGCCATAATATTTTGATTTTTCAGTTTCATATATCCCTGAATAATATTTTTAAATTACAACAAAAACAAAGATCGTTAATATTGATTTTAATATGTAATTTCGTCAAAATTTGAATTTAAAATGTCTGTAAAAAATAACTGTGGTCATATATTTTTTAGATTTTTTGGTTACAGTATGAACTATTTATGAGGACCTTTGTTTTAAATTTGCAATCTTTTGCTATAAAAACTGAACATTTTATAATTTATTAATTACAATGATTGATAATTTTCGAGATTTTGATAAATTTTGTCAAAATTCCAACTTTAAATGCTTATAAAAAAAAATCGTGCCTATGTATTTTTAATATTTTTCAACTGATATTGTAACAATATATCAGGAGCCTTGTATTAAATTTTTACACTTTTTGGCCCAACAGATAAAACTTTATTGATATTTATAGAAAAAAAAACTAAAAAAATTTGAAAGCTGTAAATGTCCATAAACAGCTCAAAAAGAGTAAAAATATTTTCAAAATTGTATGGTGTATAGAAAATGCTAATTTAAACATTCAGTGAAATTTTCATGTATCTACAGTTGTTCGTTTTTGAATTGCAACAAAATAAGGAAATCGCTACATGAGTAAAAATCGAGTTGAAAATCCAATGTTGTAAAAATTTGAATTTAAAACGCTCATAAAAATTTAATTTGACTGTCCGGTAGAGATTTTTTTATTGATAAAGGTAGATAATCTTATAAGGAATCTTGTGTTTCATTTTCAAATCTTAGATTTAAAAAGAAAAATTTTTACGAATTCTTAACTCAAAATAATTTGCTAATTTTCGTGATTTTTCCATATTTTGTCAATTTTTGAACTTTAAATGCTTATAAAAAAAAATTATGACTAAGGATTTTTAATATTTTTCATCTGCCTTTGAAACAACATATTAGGAGCCTTCTATTAAATTTTCAAGCTTTCGCAACCAACAAATAAAATTTTATTGATATTTTTAGAAAAAAACTAAAAAAAAATGGAAAATGAAAATATCCCTAAACAGTTCAAAATAAATCAAAATATTTTGAAAATGTTATCGTGTATAGAAAATGCAAATATAAACAACCAGTGAAAATTTCATGTATATACGTTCATTTGTTTTAGAGTTACACCAATAACCAAAATCGATTTTTTGGAAAACCAATTTTGCTTAAAAATTCCCGTTTTTCCTTAATTTTTATGTTATTTTTCCCGGCGCTTGTGAAAACTACTGGGAAATTTATACTTTTGACCCCCCCAATGTACCAACTAGATTCACTTTCCTATCAGAAAAGCTACTGATGACGAAAATCCAAGCACTTTTACTGTCCTAAAACGTGATGACAGACACAAAAATATAAAAAAAAATATAAAAAAATAAAAACATACATCATTGTAAAACCAATACATTCATCGCTCCGCTCAGAATCTAAAAAACACACATCATTGTTAAATCAATACATTAATCGTTCCACTCAGAATCTAAAAAAAAGAAAAATTAATTTACATTAATGTTTTATTTGTTCAAGGTTCATTAATGGAATTATCAAATTTGATCAAAAAATTACACAGCTTTTAACGTGTTTGTCGATTGAACAACGAGATGCTTCAAGTAAAAAGTTTTGGAGGGTGACCATAATTGTATTATTCGTATACTTTGTTGTATTTGAATTCTATCAGATGTACTTATGGCCCCCGAAGAAAACATTAGTTAACATATTTTCATACTATTTATTTTCTGCGCCATTCATTATGGACATTTCAGTTGTAACTTCTTCGTATTTCTTCCTCTATAACTTAAAAGTCAGATTCGAAGTATTAAATGATTTCTGGAAATGTCTTCCGGAAGGGTTGGTCGCTGTTTCCGGCAAATGGACTAGTTCCGATGTTGCAGTTTTGATGGAAAGTATACGGCTGTTACACGCTGAACTATGTGAACTATTGAAATTATTCAGTTTGGGTTACGGTCCAGTACTTTTATTCTTTTTTGTATTCAGCTTTATCAATATGCTTCTTCATTTTTTTTTCATGGTTTGCATAAATTTATCTTCGTCAGATTCAAATTACACTGAAAATGTCTTGAGAAATTTAATTCCATACTTATTGAATGTACAAATAGTTATTTTTTTGATGTCTGTCATCGTGGCTGTATCGCTGATAAATGAAAAGGTAACAAAAATGGATGTATTCATATGATAATGAATAATTATTAATTACACGTATGAAATAAAAACATTTTTATTCTATAACGTCTTATATTCTGAAATCATAGTTATATAAGTTTTTGAAAAAATTAAATTTATAAAATAATATTAATATTTGATTTACGCATAACGTAACATTATGAACAGTGGCTCATCAGTCATCACAATAATTATTAAAATTACTTTTACAGAAAAGAAAGATAATATCATATTTACGACTATATAGTATTTCAAACTTACCTGAAGAAATAAAACGACAAGTAAAATGCAATATGATGTATAATACCTAAATAATATTTCTGTTATTTTATTATGTATTTACATTTATAATTACCTATGTGGCTATGTAGGTATTAGATATCTATTTAGTCAATTATATGTGATTTAACAGAGTACAAATTAATTATTAATACTTAAGTGTTATTTGTTGTAATTATTCATATTTTTTCAATTAGGTTAAAATGTTTATGAATCAAATATTGATTTTGGATTCGGATGAAATTACAGCTTTTGGATTTTTCAATATAAATTTAAATCTTGTCATATCAGTAAGTATACAATAATTATATAATAATACAATATTATATAAGTGACTTCTTTTATTATTATCCTATACCTAACCTAGGGTGTTAGTAGGTAGTATAATTATGAATGTGTTCTTGCTGGTAGCTGGATATGCGTTTCAAAACCATATAACTGTATATTTCCTAACAATTATCTTTTTTTAAGCATCCAATTTTATATATTATAATTTATAATATATTAATGGTTCCAATTTTAATTATAAATAAAAAGGCGGACAAGTGGGTACTGCTCTGCTGTTTAGTATAGTTGTCAAGCATGACGTTGTAATGGATGTGTCATATTTGAATTCAATGATAAATCATTGTATACTAAAAACGATTCTGAGCGGGGAAGTTGTATCAATAACTTGTATAAATAATACAATTAAGTAGTTAAAAAAAAAAATAATAGAAATTGAAAATCAAAAATATCTCACGGCTATAAATAGCGTAACGTTCTGATGAGCATTTTGTGTTTGATAGAGGTAGTAAAACTTGTTAGGAACCTTCTATTAAAATTTCTAATGTTTACAATGAAAAAATAAAGCTTTTATGAATTTCTAACTGAAAAATTATTGACAAAATTGAACATTTCCTCAGGGCCATAAATGGTTCAAAAATAAAAAGTCAAAATAGTTTGAAAATATTACAAAGTATGGAAAATTGTCATTTTAATATTAGGTGAAAATTTCAAATGTTTACGGTTATTAGTTTTTGAATTAGGTACAACAAAATTCGTTAATCTACCGATGAAATTTCAATATCGTAAAAATTTTAAATTCAAACGCTCATAAAAAAATTATTGTTACATTCCAGTAAACTTTTTTTTTGTTTAAGGTAGAAAAATATGTTGGGAATTATTTCATATTATATATATATCCTTTATATAACTACTTTTTCAACTAATACCATCATAGTAGACTCAGGGCCGCATTTAGGGGGGGGGGGGGGTACAACTGCCCCGGGCGCCAGTATTTTAGGGGCTCCAAAATGTTGTGGTCAGAAATATGTTTACTTGTGAATTATTAAAATTGTATAATTGTAATTATTTTCAATAACAGTATTATATAATATAATTTAGTATAATAATATATTATATATATAGTATTATGCTGTTTGACAATTTTTAATTCATATTAATTTGCATAGTTTATATAATTTTATATTATTTATTCATAAAGTACCTACAACCTAATTAAATATGTTTAAAAAAAAAACAATTTATTTGATGAATTATAAGGAAGGTTTAGATCTATCTCCCATATTTTCAGTAGGTAGGCCGCTAAGGGGGGAGCAATTTTTTTCACGAGGGCTTAGGGAGTGCCAATTTTTTTTGCACCGGTTAGCAACATTTCTAAATGCGGCACTAACAGTAGTTGATAACTAAAATATCATCATAATGTTTTCAATAATAATTTGGTTTTTTCTTTCATGTCATTTTTTTCAATTTTATCAATTATTGAAATCATTTTTCATTTGTTACAGATACTAGTATTGTTGATAACTGGACTATCTACATTAATACAGATGAAAGAACATCCCATAATTTTTAAGTTGATCAATGACACTAAATCATATGCAGCCAAACAAGTGGAGAATATATAAATTACACTTTACTTTTATATTTAATATAGATAGTTTATTATATTTATTAACTATTATATAGTTAATGAGTAATGTAGATTATTAATATGTAAGTACCCATATGTAACTCTTAAATTATAAGAAATTAAAAATAAACAAAAGTGGTTAAGTAGATGACATTCGAAGACATGTACCCCACCCACAGCAGAGCCAAAGCGACATCTACTTAACCACTTTTGTTTATTTTTAATTTCTTATAATTTAAGAGTTACATATGGGTACTTACATATTAATAATCTACATTACTCATTAACTATATAATAGTTAATAAATATAATAAACTATCTATATTAAATATAAAAGTAAAGTGTAATTTATATGGGTGGGGTACATGTCTTCGAATGTCATGTGTTCGAAGGTCATGTTTTCGAATGACGAGTGTTAGAAAAGTTATTTGTTAGAATAGTAATGTAATCGAAAAATTATTTGTTCGAAAAATATATGTTCGAAAAGTTGTATGTACGAAAATTATTTATTTAAATTAAAAAGCTATCTAATATTATAAAAATTAATAAACATAAAATTAAAAAATATATATTTGGAAAAATATACCTATGCAGTTATAAATCAATAATTAAAAACTTAAATTATATGCAATTGCTTTTAAAAACTCCTAATAAATAAAAGTAAAATATACCTATGCAGTTATAAATCAATAATTAAAAACTTAAATTATATGCAATTGCTTTTAAAAACTCCAATTTAAAATATTTAGGATTGTAGATTATTCGCTGTTGAATTGATTGCAATCTCATATTGTGGTCCACACCATATTTCTTTTTCTTTATTTGATGTCCGGATATTAACATTTCAATCTGTGATTCTGTTTCAGATTGAATTTTTTTCACGATTGTAATAAATTAGTGAAGCCCTGAATAAAATATATGAAATAAAATATTTATAAAATAAAAAATATAAAAATGTATTAGTTGTTCTCGGAAGTTCTGATCTAACACTTTATTTCTCAACATTTTATTCAGGGTTTCACAAATTTATAACAATCGTGCAAAAAATTATATATTATATAATATATATATATATTTTTTTCCAAATATTTTTTTTAAATTTTATGTTTATTAATTTTTATAATATTAGATAGCTTTTTAATTTAAATAAATAATTTTCGTACATACAACTTTTCGAACATATATTTTTCGAACAAATAATTTTTCGATTACATTACTATTCGAACAAATAACTTTTCTAACACTCGTCATTCGAAAACATGACCTTCGAACACATGACATTCGAAGACATGACCCGCTCCCCTCTGCTGTACAAGTGGCTCAATGTATAATGGATTGTATTAAATTTGAATTCAATAATTTAATATAATTGTATAAGAAAAACGATTCTAAGCGGAGACGGTTTGTCAGTCTGGATATTTTATAGTCTTTAAGGGGCCTCCAGGTGACCTGTTTTTTTTGCTCAAAAACATGCCTTACAAAAAAAACTCACGTCTCGTAGAGTGATCTGATTCGATTAAATTTTTTTTTTTTTGAAAGAGAAACACTTCTTACAGGGCGCATTGGACTTGTATTTTCAAATACGATTATATACGATTTTGATTTTGACCAATTTTCACAAGTTTTTGTTATTTTATTATATTTGTTTTAAGCAACGAAATTAAAAATCGAAGTCCAATGCGCCCTGTTGAAAATTATCCCCTTTCCAACGAAAAAAAAAATTAATCAAATCAGACCTCGTGAGAGTTTTTCCCCTTAAAGCGTGTTTTGAGCAAAAAAATCATGCATTTTAATTTTGGCCGGCGGTACCGCTGACATTCAGTGCGTGCGCAGATAGCCCGGTAAACGTATACAATCAACTCACACTTATCATCATTACTAACACTAACACAAATTACATTAGTGGCGGCTACGAAATTGCGTATATATTGCCCCTTGTTAAAGGCACACGAGCAGGCCCCTTAAAGTAAGGGGTTCGCATACAGCCATTGTGCGAAACAAGTCAGATTGCCTACCCAAATCATCAAAGGCGTTTTAAATTTTTTCAACGAATGAATCAATAATTACACAATTGATTGGAAAACATCAGAAAAATTGTGTAGATTATCCTTCTATACAAATCATCAGAATTGTACGGTTAGATATAAGTTTTTAAAGAAACGTGCAAACTTTTTAATGAAAAATTTTAATGAAATGTGGAATAACTACGACCACTTGTCGCATTGTAGCTGCGACCGACTCCCCTCTCCATTTCGTGTACGCAGTACCTACAAAGCCTTTGTTCACTAGGTGGGGAAAATATTACTATCTATATAGTTACGATTCGTTTCATTATAAATATTGCTCTTTTACATACCTTCCTATTTAGTATAGTACTAAGTATTGACTAGAAGACATTTTTTATTATTCATTATATTCAACGCTGTACAATATTATTCAGTTATTGTACCTACAAACATGGAAAAATATATTAATAATATTAGTATAATATAATATAATACTATCAATAATACAATATAATTTTTTCCCATGTTAGTAGGTACAATAACTGAATACTATTTTACAGCGTTGAATACATGAATAATATAAAATGTTTTTAGTCAATACTTAGTGGTATTATGATAGCTTTATTTTTTATATTAAACGTCATTGATTGGACATACGCTGATTGTAAGTATCTATTTATTTGTTTTTACTAAACATGATTCATTACAGATTCATATTAATGTATAATCATAATTCATAGGTGTAAAACACATAATTGTAATTTTAGTTCATAAACTAAAGATATAATAATCAAATATGAAATAATACTATTTGAGAGAATAAGATTTTCAGCAAAATTAAATTTTTAACACAATAATATATTAATATCCATTTGAATCAGTATTTGAATCAATTAGCAAGCACAATATTATCATGATATTTTTTAATTTTAGTAAATTAAGATTTATATCGTCTAACTTATACTTCTAATGATGTATGTTTAATGCTTTTGCTAATTATTTTTCTAGTTTTTATGAAAATTATAATTATTTCAATGTAAATTTTAAACCACAGAATGCACCCAAAGTTCTTTTATCTTCACTCCACTCTTGTTCGATTGATCTAATTTAGGTGTTTGAATCACTTAGCTCCTTAAGTTCCAATTCCAGGCTTCAGGTGTGGTCATGATTTAATACCAAACATATTCCCAAGAAACTATTACATAACATTAAATTATATATAACATTTTTTACCAGGTAACCATTAATTATTTTGGTTCAAGCGGGGGCTTGTTTCAGTAAGTATTATTATATTTTACTTCAAAACATATACCTAAACATAATACACGTATATAAAGTGATTTCCGCTGTAATCATAATGTGATCACTTTTATACCTACTGTAAAATAATTATTATTTATATACAAGTAAGTTGAATCATAGGTATTTTCAGTGGCTTAGTCATGGGTGGAAGGGGCTGTGGATCATACCCCCCCCCCCCAATTAGCCATATCAAAACATTAAAAGCACATAAAATAAATTATTAGAATTGAGTATTTTTGTTAATATTTGGATTTATCCTCCCCTCATTATAAAATCCTGGGGATTTTAATTTTATGAAAAATGAAAAATAATTTAAGTATCACTAGTTTTTAAAAATAATTGAAATCGTTATAGTTGCAGTTATTGGTTGTACATTTGTTTCAAACAAATGTATTATGTAACATACCTATGTTATTTGTACAGTATTTTACTTATATTGAAACAGTTAACATAACAATAATGAATCATTGAATGAGGAGGAAAGTAGGGAACCGTTCTGAAAAATAAGGAAATAGAACTTGTTGAAAATTGCTTTTGCGTAAAAACTCCCACTTTTCTCTATTTTTTTTTTTATCAACCCAATTATTCAGAAAAAATCTATTGGACTTTTTAATTTTGGCTTCCCAAAAGTATCAACTACCTACGTGCACTTACCAGAAAAGATATTTTAGGTGAAAATCAAATGTATTTTCTACTATGATTCATTATGTATACCTTCACATTCACAAAAAAATCATTGTAAAATCAATACATTCTTTGCTCCAAGTAGAATTTAAAAGCATTATTAAAAAAAAAATCAAAAATAACTTAACTTAAGTTAATTTTAAGTTTCCATGTGACTTTTAACCTAACTGGCTTAAAAAAATTAATATAACTAATAACTTTAAACTTTTCAAATGTTTTCTATTAACTTAACTTAACTCAATTAAAAATTATCATTAACTTGCCAAGGCTTGATAATATTATCATTGTATACGAAAAACGATTCTGAGCAAAGAAGTCTCTCAGCCTATGATATTACTAAGTATATTTGATGATATTATTGTGAATAAAGTAATTTTTTCTTATTGGCGTGAAAACTTGTTACGAATATTTAATCTTTAGCAATACAATTTGAACATTTTATATATTTTCAACTTTTCAACTACTAATAATTTGTAAATTTAAATTTGATAAATGTTGTCAAAATTCGAACTTTAAATGCTTATAAAAATAATTGTGCCTATAGCATATGCTAAAATTATTTATAGTACTGCTTCCGCGATGAAAATCAAGTTACGAATTCCGAATTTGTGGTTACGAATTGGACATTGGTTACTATTTACTAACTAATGAAATAATTTACTGTGGAAAATTCTGACATAGGAGTGCCAGGGTAACGGACCTTAGGTTGCTATGGTACTATTCAATTATAATTTAATAACAATATTTTCTTGAAAACTATTTATTTTTTGAATAAGTACACAATATTGTTTTAAATCTTATAATCGAAATTAATATTCTTGTTTTATGTTATACTAGCTGTATAACCCGACCTCGCCCCAGAAAAAAACGAATAAATGTAAAATTCGATGTTATATCTGTGTATCTCAGATTTAGCGTACCACACTAAGTTGTAGATAGGTATACACGAGCAAATCGGAATCAGTGTACCTTACTTAATGAACTATTTCATCCGAAATGGAAAAGCTGACTGTTACGGATTGGATATAGCATTTGGTATAATCTGTTCAAACATAATATAGCATTTGGTATAATTTGTTATTTTCCGATATCTTTACGAACAACTTCTGAAACTTTTATCAAAATTGGTCTAGTATTGTTTTTGAGTCAATATAATATGCTACAAACCTATGGACATTAACTTTTGTTGTACATACATTTGAATAACGAACAATTAATTAAATACCGTCATTTTATTTCATTAAAAAAATATCCCATAGCGCACGGTAATTCGGCTAGTTTTGACCACCCTTTTTTTGTAACTAAAATGGCAACCCTATACCTATATTATTATGACGTATATTATATTATTATATAACAAAAAAAAAAATTTTTATGAGCCAAAACAAAATTCACGTGTGACTGTGTGAGGTATAGGGATTCTATAGCAACATATTGAGGTTGAAAATATCGAAGCAAAGAAAACTCCCAGAGTTAAAAGGAATATATTTGCCAAATTTGTTGCCAATTGGTTCAATAGTTTCCAAACGTACATTCACGTAAATTATAAAATATTAATTATTATAGGGGGTTCTTCACTTCTGCGCCCTGCTCGCACCGCCCCCGCAGATCAGAAAATGGAGGGGGGGTCATCTTGAAATGTAATATCTATAATATAAAATAAACTTTTTTCTACAATAGAGAAATACAAATAAAAAATATTATGAGCTGTACATAAATTTCAGGCAAATCGAGTGGTGTATAGCTGTTATGTGGTAACTACTGGGCTATAGAAGACTAAGAACTTGGGACTTGGGTAAGTCCAAGAAGTCCCGTATCACCCTATTAGTATATCCATGGAAAATCAATATATTTAAATGGAGTGTTTTTTACAGTAATAATTATGGAAATTCTGATTGAATAGCATAATATTCGATATTTTTTTTAAAAAATTAAAAAATTAATTTTAGGCAAATAAATATTGTACATTTCTAAGATAACCATTTTGTTGATAGTATTTTTTAAAACAGTTAAAAAAAAAATATATTAAAATGTAATGGAAAATTTCCCAAGTTAGAGCTAATTATTATTTTGAATTTCTAAGAATAAAAGTTATGTTACCTATGCATACAGCATTAGCAAAATAGGATTCGCGTGTTCATTATAACGATCACGCTGATATTTTTTCAGCTAAAATTAAAAATAATAATTGGCTCTAACATGGGAGATTTTCATTAAATTTTAATATTTTTTGTTTTTGAACTGTTTTAAAAACAAAATTGGAAATTTCGAAAAAAAAAATCGAATATTATGTTATTCAATCAGAATTTCCATACTCATGACTGTAAAAAAACTGCATTTAAATAATATATTGATATTCCACGGAGATACTAAGGATGGATACGGGACCTCTGGGACATAATATACTGTATAATGGTAGATTTTTTCTTAGCCAATTTTAGGCGTATCTAAGTCGATCTAGAAATAGCGATAGTGCCTGAGCTCACCAGGTTCTCCGGTCGAAGCGGGACGGATATCGAAGGTGTATTCCGAGTGGAATTGGTCGTTAGGGATCCTGGGGGGGGGGGGGGTGCAACCACACCTGCCGTTCGTCCGCGGCGGCGCATCGAATCTGCCGCTACTGGTATACTGACGTACTACTACTACGGTACTACTACTACAACAACTACAGTGGTTGTGGTGACCGTGCGCTCCGCAACGTACCTACGTCGTCGTCGTCGTCGACGCCTTCTCGTTCAACTCTCGTGCGTGATACCAGTCCTCAGTCAGTCGACAGTTTCGTCTCGTCGTCGGCGGTGTTCTGTTGTAGTTGTCTCTGCACCGGTGTTTCACACTCTCGATCTATCTGCCCTTCTCCGAGTGGTTTCGCACCCCGCAAGTATCGCCGTTCGCTGAATACCAATATTATCTTTCCACGACCGTCGTCAACTCGTAATCGTAATAATAATATAATATTTACTCGACGCAATAGTATTACATATTATCATCGTCCAAACGGATTGTATACCTACAACTTACCTTGTCTGTGCTAGAAACTCGAGATCGACATGCAGGAACGTTTGACCACGACGTGTCTGCTGAAGGAGGCGCCAGTCAACGAGGTAAGCGTAGTACCATCAAATTATGTTTATCACTACTATAGAAGGTACCTATATATAATGCGATTTAAATTTAAAAATTATACCTATCAAACGCGTAATAATAATTAGTATTGGCATTCGCACAGAACGTCACATCCACTTGTTTATATCCCGCTAAAAAATGTTGTGTGTAGGTACCTACGAAGTATAATAATAATATACTCTCGGACATTTTTTTAGGTACCTACCTAATAAAGTTAAATGTTTATTTAAAATTATTATTGAAATATTTATATTATTTTCGGTCTAAATTAGATTATTATGGCCCGATCGTTTTAAATCTTATATAAAAAATACTTTTTTGATCCTATAATAAAAAAAATTGTTATAAAATAGGTAATAGCCGGTAATAGACCCGGTTTGTATACAGAAAGTATTGCCATGTTGTTTTATAATTATTTTATTCATTTGTTATATCAGTTCAACGGCACCTAAATTTATAATTTTATTATTGTCTTTACGAAAACATTTTTTAGTATTTAATTCGACAAATTCGGTTAATTAAAAATGTATTATTTATTAATTATACTAGATTATGTCCTAACTTGTGAGAGTATTTATTATTTTATCATTTATACATAAACTGTAAACTTAGATGATATTATTGTGTAGTTCATTAATTATAATAGGTATGATAATAATTAATATAGATTAACGATACATTTTTTTTTTATATGGAGAGAGTTAAATATTTTTTACGTGCTTGATTAAAATGTAGAGCAACGAAAACTATATTATAATTTTACACATTTCACCATTTTTTTTAATGTTTAGTTACACTTGTAAAATGTAAATGTACCTAATTACACTTGAATTAAATGAATCAAATGCAGGCAACAAATTCATAATAATGGTGGGGATCGGGGGTCAAACGGCGATAATTTAATGTTGTTCCGCTGCTCGTACTTATTACAAAGTATAAACTGATATAATATAGGTAGGCGTGCTCAAACTTTAAAAGATTATAATTGAACCGAACTCCTGCCAACCAACTTAAGATATAACGATCAATAACAAATTTAAACCTATTCGGACAGATTAAAGTACACATTTTATCAAAAATTATTAGTTATAATTCTATGTTAAAAAAAACCTAATATGTGAATTCGACATCCCTCATTATAATATGAATATTTAATTATTCATGTAGGTAAACAGTATCATAAATACGGTACGGTAGACACCTCTATGTCAAATTCGTTCAACAATATTGCATTTAACTTTTTTGTATTCAAAAATGAAATCCTTTGATATAATATGTGTGGCATTATACATCAGACCCTTCAGGCCTCAAAAATAAAAATTACAGGACTTACCTATAGGTATGCCTTATAAAACGATCTGCATCTACGCATGCCTATATACGTATGTACAAAGGTCTCCCTCAAAGTAGGTCGTCTTCACTAGATTTTTGACCGTGTAATAATTATACACTTTACCACAGCGGTATTTTAGGGAAGTTAGTGTTTTACAACCACTTGGAAACTTTCCGTTTGATATTCCAAAATTAACTCAGAACTTTCGCTATGCTGCAAGTACCACGTAGCTATACAATATATATCATAATAAGATCGAGCTTTATACCTATATACGTATAGTATAATAAATGTATAATATATTAAACTAACTTACACGTATAATAAATAATTTTACAGAATCACCGGGGGTGGCACAGGGCCGCTGTTTTTGAGATGCCGTAATTATATCCATGCTCACTGTAACTTTAAACTTACTATACATTATGATATTATTATTTGGGTACACAGTATTGTGCTCATCATTGGCGCGTCGTCCGAACAAAAGAGCGCGTGACGTGTGAATTGTCGTATACCTACACTGCTATAATAGTACGTCGATAACAATATATTGAACATTTGAAAAGTTCTATTCAAGTGAGAGGGTGTATATATTATATTATATATTGGTGCGTATGATTTTTGCAGATTTATCTATAATAGGCACCTACCGTTGCTATATTTTATACAACTGAAAACCCTTTCCTACACAAACTGTATAGAGAAATAACCCTTTTTCTGTCTGCGTATTATAGCCCAGCATTATTCGCAAACCGCACAATGTAATAACGCACCCGCGCCGCTTACCTTTTCTTGAGACGAATCCACGTGAACACTTCTATGTCTGTTGTTCACTATTCGTATAATATATTTTATTGTATCCGATCGAACACAGACCAGATGTCACGTTGCTAGTGACTTGTACGCGCTTGCTATAGGCTCGATATTTATTATATTTTTATACGTTTATATTATTATTAGTTACGTAAAGCGAAGTACCTACCCGAATTGTGCTTCTTAAAAATCCACTGAATCATCGCATAAAGATTGCACTGTGCAAAAACAAAACAACAGACAACACAACTATTAGTCTATTCATGATACTACGTTCGTCGAAACTTGCTGCTATCAATTTTTTTATTTCTCTCGGTGCGTTCGTCCACGGATGAAATGGCAGATGGCGAAACGGCCATGTGGGGTGATACAGGCTTATTATTATTAATAATATAATATATACTTATATTATATAGGTACGTTTTTTTTTTATTCTATGTTTTCAAATAACGTATACGCTCTCACCCGCCAGCTGTGCTTGTTCTCTCCATTAGGAATATTCGACATGGTCGAAGAATAAAAAAAAATAAAACAAGTGTTTACTCAGACGCATGGCAACACGATATACGACGAATCGAACTGTTTTGTTTGTATGCGCGTTTTACGTTTGTTTATTTTAACTAACTTAACTTAAATTTATTCTGAGTTATACTTACAGAAATTAAAATAAGCGTACGTCATGCGATAATTCGGTATCGATGATTAATAATTAAGTAGGTATAGGCATAGGTTAAGTATGTGATCTTATATAACTATCGTGTTCGTATCGGCGTGTCGATGCTCCTGCAGAATAATTGCAATATACGTATTATAGAAGCTACTTCAATAATATATTAATATTTATACACTGAAAACACTATAATATATTAATATAATTGTATTCGGTGAACACATTAATTAACATATTATTTGCGCCCAGTCATCTTGATATACGCCCCAATACGTTTGTTTAATGATATTATCATGTGCATGTCCGTTTAATTTAGGATGTATCATGTACATAATAATATTTAGAGTATGTAAAGACTGTAGGGCCGTATATTGTATGACAATACGATATGTAAATATTGTTAATCATTGAAATTATAACACGATTCGGGATTTGTGTCGTGTATAATATACATGAAATCGTCGTAAACCGGTAGAGCTTTAATAATAATAATAATAATAATAAATGCACACACGCATGTACGGTGTCTGAGTATGTCGTAAAACGTGACGAACGGGTCTGTATTGGTTGTCCATCTGTCAAACACGCGACCACGTCCACCTAGACCCACACACGTCGTTCATATATTATATATATAGCTATTATTATTATTTATTAGCATACGTGTGCAAAAATGAACAGAATACCTTTAAACGGACCATTCGAAGTGTGTGGAAAAAAACTGGAGTTTGATGAAGAAAAAAAATCACCGAAATATTTCTTGTAACGATTACCTATTATCCAACATACACGTGCTGCGGGGCCCGGGAGGTCATAATAGTATTATTGTCGCTGCCGTAAAACCATATCTTTATTATAATAATTAGGGACCTCCACTTTATATACATTATAGCTATATACACATTATATATCCACCGCCGGCAGACAAAAATTATTATAGTTATTCGCTACCTACGAAAATAAAAACAATATTACCTACACCGTGCGGCAGGGGGGGGGAGGAGGCGCCCGGCTATGAATTTCGGTTTTGGCCTTAATAATAATATACGTATTATAATATATGACGGCGCAGACTAATTACGCCCGGGTGTGGGTCGGAGGTGGGTGGAAAATATCATCGTTTATAATTCGTAAGAATATTAAATGCTTATTGGTATGTTTATGATGTCGTTATTATTATTATTAAGATTGGTTTTGATTTTTTGAATTCATGCTTGATGAGCCACTCTGAGTGATATGACTATATAGTTATAACTCCTATAGGCTATAGGTAGTCGTAGTCGATACGATTTTTTCTTTAGCTGGACACAACCGAATTAATAGTTGAATAATAATAATGTAATATATTATTAATTATATTATGTTGTATTAATTTGTCATACGCGGTGTTTGGCCGTCTCGTCGAGTCCCCCGGTATTTGGGGGCAAAGCCTTGTTGATTAGGCATTATACACGTGCTCATCAATAATAGAAATACCTATTTTCGGCTGTATAATTCACGGTTTTCGTCTGGACGTCCAAACATCGGAAATTCGTCACAATAATAATCAATTATGCTTCACTATATTATATTGTGGCTCACAGGGACCTATACATATATAGCCGATGTGATGTCGTTTTTAATCCATGTAAGCTTCATGTGTAATAATGGACTTCAAAATAGGTACTTCACTTCGGTGTAATGTTGATCCTGACAATCCTGCTCCATAGGTCTTGTAGGGGATGCAAATGAAATCCTTCTAGTATGCGTACTAGTATTGTGGAGAAAAGCCACACTCGATTGGCCGCTCGCATCGTTGTCAGCTGCGCATAATATTATTATAATATTATACACTGTAAACTCTATATTATTTTAATTTATAATATGTATTTTACTGTCGGTGCGTACAAACAAGTTATATTTTTCGGTTATTAGCATTATTATTATTATTATTACAGCTACCTGCGCAGTATTATATCAGATAACACCATTTACTGGTCTCCACCGATATGTAGTTCACGTTAATCCCATAATCTTCTAGTACTTATATTATTCAATCTTTCATTCGTACCTATATAATACCTACTTACATGTCTCGTAGATGTACAAATATTTGGTCATAATATTATACTAATGCAAATGTGTTTTTTTTGTTTACAGCTGATGGCCGTCCAAGAAGAATCAGGATCCGCCTTGCCCGTCGACATTTTCCGTGAGTATATTACCCGTCTTTGTGATTTGTTATCTTATAATATAATATTAGGTGTAGGGAATATCGAACAACGACTATACCTACGCCAAATGTAATACCATTGATTATAAATACCTACTATAGTGTTTATAATCAATGGTAATACATTATAAACACTAGTATAGTATTCGAGCAGACATTGTATTATTTTTTACTTACAACACGTCAATTCATTGTTATATGAAATACAACTATACATAATATGTGTGGCATGGGCAATAATATTATTATGATTTTAATAAAAGGATTTATTTGTTTTTACAGAAGTGGCCGAACTCGTAGCTGGTTACATGGATTGCATGGAAGAGGCCCTCAGATACCTGCAAGAGGTCGAAGAGTACCCCGAAGAACACCCCGCGGTCCAAGGGCTCCGCAGCCACCTGGACCGATCCAGGCAAAAGCTCATGGACCAAGCTCTCATGTTGCAGGCTTGAGGCGTATTATTATGATTTACATATTATAACAAACGTTTAATATCATTATGGATTACCTATACTGTAAGGTTATACGTGTACGGTTGTATTTCCCGCGAAGGGGACAACCGAGTTTGTGTCGTTACCACAACCGTATGTATTATTATTACCTATTATTAACTATATTTATAGTATTATTTTTTTTTCTCTTTCGTTTTCACGTGGCTGTGTTGTACAGAGCTGTGAGGCACTGTAGCTGCTCTCGCTGAAAAAAATGGCTATTAAAAAAAGAAACCAATCATACTTAAATCCTGTTTAAATAAGTTCCGTTTGTATATATACATGTAACTACCTTCGAACCTGCACTTGTTGTTCGTATTATTATGACGTATTGTTTAAATATTTTATTATTATTTATATATTATATACGAGTAGGTACATTACTATACTCACGACGACGTACCTAAAATATCTATATATAATAATAATAATAATAATATAATCGCGATGGTCTACGTCTCGAGGGCGCGCGCGTGTGTGTCCGTTTTTGTTGTACGGGAAAAATATAATAATATAATATAGGGAGAAAGAAATCTAGTTTTTTATTTTACATTTTTTTCCAAGAATTAATTACCGTCGCAAGTATAATATAGCTGCTCTTCAACCCGGAGACAAAACACAGTGCAGGGTGACCCCGTCAGGCATAATACCATATTTTTTTCCCACTGATTGATTTATCGTTTGTTATAATAATATCGTGTATCCTCTCGTCGTCGTCCGGTGGCTATTTTATAATCGTTTCGGTAATTATTATAATAAACATGGACGACGGACGTATTCCCGATCGATTTTTCATATTATTTTTTTTTTTGGTAGTTTGGTCGCGAAAAAAAATTGAGTTTTTTAAACAAATAGTCCTACGACAACCCAATAACACCGGCCGTCCGCTTCCACGACCAGAGACCACACCTATACTTATATTATGCGTACGTGTTATTATTAATATGAAATATTATATTGTGGGGGGCCCATCTGAACGTCATAAAACGATTTATAAGATATTTACGGCGCACGTGTAATTAATTTCGATTAATTGCGCCGCGGGGAGTCGCGCGCGCGCAATAAACTCGTTCCCAACAGTTTTTTTTCTATCTTTTATAATTTTTTACCCGTGGTAAGACCTAAAATTTCATTCGTAACACGCGAGCGACGAAGAAAATGTCGTTATTCTTTTTTTTATACATATATTTTCGTTCATGTGCTTCACCTTATATATACAATATACATATATAATATATTACGTATACCTGTATATAATATAAAATATTATATTATAAAGTCTGTAAATGTAATCGGTTAGAAATTCGCACTCTTGCAACGCGTTATCCGTGTCCTAATTATTAATTTTCTTTTTTAAAATGTATTTTCTTTTTTTATGTTTATTATTTTTATTATTATTATCATTATTATGTCACTCGATTTTAAGAAAGGTGTATTTTTGTTACATACTTCATTATTTTGTAATATATTAGCATTATTGTTATTGAAAACGTCCGACAGACTTATTTATTTATAGCTCGTATTATATAATCCAACCTATTTATCATAATATTGTACCTTCATGTATGCGAGTACTATACGTAAATGTATATATTATATGCAGATAGGTAAGTATAATGCACCGTCACAATACACAATCGATTTTTTAAAGGTACCTATATAATATATTATGCATATTATTGTATCTGAAATAAAGTTATGATTTTGATTATCATTAAGATAATGGCTCTTATAATCATGTGTGTGGGCTATCCGTATCGTCATCAACGTCGTCGCCATCGTAAAACACGCAGAGGTGCATAAAAAAATATATAATGTTTAAAGGGGTTCGCTTTATGGATCGCTGCAGTGAATTGATCACTTCGGTTGGGCGACTAATGAGAAATGGACCCCAATTAAAACAAGTTCAACTGGTTTAGTTTAGTTTTATTTTCGCAAGTCACCGACGACGCCACCTCCGTCGTTAAATCGACGAGCCCTTTCGTTTTTATTAATCGTCGCGACGTACAAGCTGGTACATCCTTTTAATAATAATAATAATTATATGATGTCTATAGGTAAATACTCCTGAGTAAATAACAATATTGAAAAAATATATAGGAGGAGGAGGCGACGGCGACGACGGGCGGAAAACCGTATAATATGATAATCGAAAAACGGGCCATTAGCCAGCACATTATTTCAACTACTTGGACTCGTGTCCTAAGTGTATTATATAAGCACCTATAGGCTATAATATACTAATATTATATTATATAACATACTACCTTTATGTATTATAATATTAATTAGTTGAACAAACAAATAATAAACGGTGTTTACTTTAGGTTCTCATAATAATTACCGTAATTGGATATAGGCGGCGGCTGCCGCTGTGGTCTGAATTTTTTATTGTCAGCGTCTACACTTAAAAGGGATAATAAATCGAAAGATAAACGATAAGGTGAAAAAAGCCGATAATGAATGGAAGTCTGGATGACCTGGCGTTTTACAGCGACGACGACGACAGTAACAAGAACAACACAATAACTTCTGATAATGAAACGAATTTCTTTTAAATTAAAAAAGCAAATGCTTGTAGGTTGTTTATGTGAATATACACTCTGTAGAGTGGCTGTTTATATTGGATAATTTTTTTTCCATTTCTCTTGAAAAGCAAACAATTTTTTACAAATACAATATACATATATGCACCCTGCAGGTGCCTGTATACGATAAAATACAAATAATCAACGGTTTTTACATTATTATTAATATTAATATAATATTATTCAGCCTGCAGCTGACGTCGTACCGACCTTACTATACTCCAGACATGCGTAGTCAAGGAATTGGTTGCGATAAGGAAAGAGGATAATATTCTTATAATAGTATCATCCAGATAAAAAATACCGGCGGAAAAAAGTAAATAAATAAAAAGAACTTAAGTACGACGATTATATAGCTACTAGAAATACGAGTTTTCGTTTATGCAAGTTTCGTGTGTAAGTATAAAGTAAAAAAAAAAAATGATTTCAATTTTGTTGTTTTTTTTCACAAACCAAACAGTGCGCTGGATTGTTATTATTATTAGTTTTTTCCATAGGTGGTAAACATTTTAAGACTCACTGGGGAGAAAAAAAAATGAAGTGCAGTCGTAAAGGCACCTAAAAACATGGACTATAATAACACTCGTACGGCAATCTGTACGCCGTACGCGTAAAGTTTTCATTTTATTCTTCCATCGCACGGATTGCACCAAGTAATGCGACAGTTTAATATTATTATATTTCGTATTTACTATTTAGTGTGTGTAGTAAAAGTTAGATGAAATATTATATAACAATTTAATTTGTTGGATAATTTTTTTATTACGTGCGCTTTTATAACATTATTACACACTTAAAGCGCACATGCCCAACTCGGGTCTTTCGAAACGTAACGCGTCGTTTGTTTCCCAAGGATTAAGTACCGGGCGACGCTCAGATGTAGACGAGGATAAACGTGCCTTTACAGGTCCCTTAATTTCTTTTAATGGAACAATTTTACACCCTAACTTGGCCGGATCAAGATATTTTGTACGTATAGATAAATATCTCTTTAGTCGTTTCCTGCTTAGTGTTCTGCTATGTATAACTAAAATTAAAAATAAGTGACCAATTTTAATAATTTCGTTTATAATATTTTCAGGAAAGTTCAAGCAATTCCACATGTCGCGCATATTTTTTTTAAAGCTATACCTAATTAGACCACCTTTACATATGAAAAACACACAAATGAAGTTAAAATAATTATGTCGGTGAATCAGTTTTGTCTATAAAATGGATTTACCTCTTTTCTCCTTTAAGTGTATCCGAGTGCCCTGAAGGTAAAATACTTAGGTTTGACGTTCGAGTGCCTTACTTAGTCTCAGAATTTTAATAAAAGGAAATCAGTCAAATTCAGAATACACAATATGATCCACCCACTAGGTAATCCAACTCGAGATATTCACCAGAAATAAATGATTCATTTATAAAGATATTCAGACTAGTGTGGTCCTATACGCTATTTGGGATTTAGACATGGGGATGGGAATCTTTTCAAACCTACCAACTTAGAATAATAAATGTCTTCCAATAAATCTGCTCCTTGGTTCATAACAAATGACACAATGACTTAAAAATTCCAACGAGTACTCAATGAAACAAATCATACTATCTTTTATTCATTCAAAGTTAACTCAACATCAAAATACACTTATTAATCAACAGCCTTGGTTCAATGGTTAACAATTTAATTATATAGGGTGGTACTGAGTGTTTTCCAAAATCAGTTTTTGCAATAATTTCAGGTTGGAAATTTCATAATGTAAGTAATAAAAATTGATTATTATACTTTTTTATTCAAAGATTTTAACAATAATAAAAAAAAGTATGTCAGAGAATATCTAAAATCATACGATCACTACACCGTTAATGTGGATTTACTTTTTTCCTCGTCAGGTTATTATTATTTAAAATAAAGTAAGTCCAAGTTGACACATTTAAAGTCCAAAAAAAACTTCAAGTAGCTACAGCAACTAAATAGATTAAGCGTCTAAAGACCAAGATAACACCACTTTGAAAACAATTAAATAAATACAGTATGTAAAAGTGATAAACTAAATATCACACCTATCTTATGTTTTATACATGTAAGGTCTATTATCCAAAGTACACTACAAACAATAGTTTTTAATAACCCTGTAAAAACATCCGTTTGTTTTTTTTATTTAAATTAAATAATATTTTCAAAAAAAATAATTTTCTATGTAGCTACTGCACGAAAAAAGGCGATGCTCATTGGAAATAAAGATGTTATTGAATCGCCAATGTATTGGAAATTATGGTCTTAAGGCATAGGGTACTTAAAAGTGTGTGTAAACTCAGAGTTTTAATAAATGTATTGTAATGAGCTAAAAATAAAGGGAATAATATTGTATTTAATAATGAATTAGGCAC